CCTAGCGGTTTGGGGTGGCCATTGGCAGCCAGTGGGTCGTGGGCACCAAGGACTACGCCTGTCGGAGCCTGGCTTACCCAGCATGTGTGGGGAACCTGCCCTGGATGCACAGAGCGCTTGGCACCACGGCTGGGCCCTTGGACATTCTGGCCAGGATGGACTGTGTGGCAGCTCACATATGGGACCCCTTGCTTTGAGCTCTGTCAAGTACATTGAGCTCCTTGGCTGGACTATGGGCCAGGTGCTCTTGTATATTAATTACTTTACTGTGGAAAGACAGCCCGCCAATGGAGGGGTTAAGGTGTCACTGCCACACACACCCCAGTCTCCATGCCACACACACACAGTCACTGTCACACACACACACTGCCCCACACACTGTCACAAAGTCTGTTTCACACATACTGTCTCTCTTTCATATGCCCACAATCTTTCTCTCTGTAGCTCGCAGCCCCGCCCCTTCTGCCCGAGGCACCGCCCCTTCTGCCCGAGGCACCGCCCCTTCTGGGCGGGCGGAGCTACCCCTCTCCCACTGTGCCCTGGGGCCTGCCGGGGCTGTCTGTTCCCCCGGCCAGAGATCGTTAGGACTAGCACCAAAGATTTGGCTTGTCATGGCGCCCAGAGATCCTGATTACGTTGTGCAGAAACAAGAGACAGCCAGTTAGTCAGAAATTGCTCTTCTATGGTTATTCCTGAAGAACTCCCTGCGTGGATGCTCTGTTACCAAGCCTACGCTAGCGTTTTTGTCGTGAAAACTTTTGTCCGTGAGGGGGGAAAAAACACTGACTCACAAAAGTTTCACCAACTAAAGCAGTGGCGTGGCCAGCACTATGTCGGAGGGAGACACTTTGTTAGGTCCATAATGTAGACATAACCTTATTCCAGAATAAGGATTTGTCTACACATGAAGGATAACCCTGAATAAGGTGAATTGTGAATTTCAAGTGAACAGATAATCTATTCTTGATATGTGAACACTCTCATTCCAAACTTTACCTTAATCTGAATTAACTGTCAAGTGTAGACAAGCCCTAAGTACCCAATTCGGAAGTCTACATCTTTTCTTTTATTGGAAAGTTTCCAGCTAATGGCTCCCCCAGTCCTCAATTTAAATGTAAATGGCATTTATAAAAACTAACCTTCTCCTTGTAGTCAGCCTGCTTGTGCATGTATGAGTTTCAAGTTCCTGATTCAAAAGCTGAAGTTAGTTTGTCCCAGAATCAAGTTGCCTATTTTAAGAGGTAAGTCAGTGTTGCCTGCTCTTGTGGTTTTATTGAGACTCTTGCAATATTTCCTTTTCGCTCCAGCACTCAGAGAGAAGGGATTAACCAAGAATCTTGATTTTTTTCATTAAAAGGAAAAAATCAGTGAAATTGTGGCCTGAATGCATCCCACAAGCCTAAAACACAGAAGGAAAATAGAGCACCCAAAATATTTTTATTTTAAATTTCATGATTTGAGGTGGCCTGACTCATGAGTTTGGGTTTAGCACTATTGCATCTGTCTTGTGAATGGTCCCTCACTCCACCTGGGCTCTCAAAGCATTTTATAAAGGCACAGATCCCCACTCTAGAGAGGGAAAACTATGGCCTGGCGTGGGGCTGTGAGGTCACACAGTGAGACAGTGCCAGAGCTGGAATAGAACCGTAACCTCCCACGCCCAGGCCTTGTTTGTTGCTGCATCCAGTCTGTTTCCCTGTTCCTGCCGCTTTTCTCACAATGCAAATCGATGAGGTCGGTTTTGTTTGGGGGCATCTCCCGTTTCACTGTCACGCGCTTCAGTGTTGGGGGCTGCAGAGGGCAGGACAGTGTTTATCTATTTAGAACTATTTTCACTGGATTTTGGGGTGTGCAATCCCCTTTCTATTGGCTGTCATTTTTTAGAAAAGCTTCTATTTACAATGCATCTGGCTGGGGCCAAATTTTAAATCCATATTTGCAGGGGGCAGACCTCGGCAGTGTACTGAATGAGAGTGGCTAAAACTAACAGGCCCCGGTCCTCTCCTGGGGCTAGTACGCTCAGCGATGATCAACTTACGGTAGGGGTTGAGAACGGTGTGCCACGTGGTTCCAGGTCTGGCCTGGGGAGGTTTTCTGAAGTGGTGTCTGAAGGCCAGCACCCGTGACTCCTTAGACCGGTGCCGGAGGTGGTTTCTGGCTTTCTTGCTGCAGACGCTCTGCATGATCGATTGTACTGCCAGAGTGGCAGCTCTCCAAGCTTCTCACCTGAATGAGGGCAGCAGATCAAGCCCTTGAGTTGTCCAGTTATCAGTGGCCAGTGGGTGTCACTTGTCGTGGGAAGGGTAGTTGGGGGAGGTGCGCTGAAGACATGCAGTGGATTTCCGTGGGAGGCGAGCCATCAGGTAGGCGCTGCATGTCTGATGCGCAATAAGGGGGCTTCTCAGTCATGTTCCTCTAACGCCAGCTGGGCTGGAAACCACATTTGGTGAACCTGGGGAAGGGGACACGGCATCTACTCTACCACCTGATAGCACAGGGGTGGGGAGCCTGTTTTGGGCCGGGCGCTGCTGACCCACAGCTATAGCACCTGCTATAGTGTGCTCCCTCCCTCCCATCCAGTGACTCTGGGCTACAGATTAACAGGTGACCAATACATGCTGGGCTAATAAATCTGTATTGCGTTATCAGTATGTGCCATTTGGAGAGAGCTACCTATATTAATAGGCATTAAGCACACAATATCAACACACACCAGAACACCCGAGTTCCAAACAGGTCGTGAATGGAGGTTGTTCGTATCCGGAACAAAACATGACGGCTGTTCTAACCGCACCTCGTCATCGTACAGCTTTGAAACTAGGGATGGAAAATCCTGTTTCATGGGTTAACCGGGTAAACGTGAAGTTTAACCGTTAGCCAATTGGGTGGGCCGCTCCCTGACCCTCCGCTCCAGCTGGGCTGTCCCCACTGGTTAAGCAGTTCACAGGTTAATGTTTCACATCCCTGTTAGAAATGTTACTATGCCAAAGCAAAATAATGCTTGAAAGGAAACAAGCACAGAAACCGTTTCCTTAATGTGTCAAATCTTTTTTAAACTTTTTTTTTTTTTTAGTAGTTTACATTTAACACAGCAGTGTACTTGTGTTTGCAGGAAGACGAGGTTCTTCTGTAACTTATTAGATTTCATATATCGATCGATAGATGGAGATATATACAGATTTCAAGCATCCTATAGCACCTTGCATTAGCTGAAGTAACTTTGGCGTAAGTAGATAGTGAAACTATCAGGAACGGAACATGTGGGATGTTTTACCATAGTAACAGGGAGGGAGTTACTCTCTCTGACCAGTCCTGGAATGTCCCAAAGATAAGGACAAGATATATGAGTGTTCTACTCTGGTAAAACCCCATGAGATGCCTCCTCCCCGCCCCTGCACCCTCCCCCCCTCCGTCCTGCTTGGTACCTGGAATGCCTGAGCTCAGAACAGAGAGCCAGCGGTTACACCATGATACCAGAAAAACAAAGTAGAAAGATAATTTGTTAAATCTGGACTCAGTATCTTGTTAGTCGTGAACGGTTTGGATGGAAAAATGAGAGTGTGAGGGGTGTACCTATGGAACCAGGCCTGCTTTGTAACCGTGCTGCATAAACCTGCTTCCTGGAAACAGGTATCGTATTGAACCTTTTTTCCTCTACTCCACTATCACGGACGTTTAGCAATACCTCGGAGTGACTGGCATTTCCTGTCTTGAGTTTATTTCATAACTAACTGTGGTCCCGCAATTGACCGTGTGATTTTACCAGGAAAGTTTTGCATAGTCAGGGCAAAAGAAATAATGGGAAATGAGTAGCAGCAAACTTTGGTGTGGCAGATAGGTCTGCAGTCCTACTGAATTGTATGAAACAGTGTTTTTCAACCTTTTCTTATAAAGTACCCCCTTTTCCAATAAATATATATATATATATCCCCCAGTTCCTACAGTTTTCAGACACGCAAATTTTTTTTCTACCATTTCAACATTTGTTTAAACAACTTAATCGTAGCCTGGCAGGCAATGAAATTTTTGGGTGTAAAAAGTACAAAAATAATAAAACGCTGTAAAACTTAAAAGAAAAATTCATCTTTCTCCAAATTTCAGTTGTGTTGAAGTACCCCCCCCCCAGACTTCTCTTGAGTACCCCTAAGAGTACTCGTACCACTGATTGAGAAACCGTTGATAATCTCAGCAGTTACGTGCTGTGGGCGCTGCCGTATAACACTTATATGGCAGAACCCACAACGCAGCCGGCTCCCCAGGAATGGGGCCAGAAGCCAGTGCGCACTAGGAGCCAGCTTCCCTCCCCACTCCAACAGGCAAGAGTGCCAGGAGCCAGCTCTCAGCTCCCCACTTTTAAGCTGACCCCTGGCATGTACCAGCTCCTGCCTGTCGGCCCCACTCCCAGGGAATCGGCTGCACCCCATGCTGCTGCCTCAAAAAAGGCAGTAGCACAGAGTAGAATCCATCTCCCAGCTTTTAAGCCGGCTCCGGACCCTGTTCCCAGGGATCTGGCTGCTGCCCCACGGCACAGCAGTGGCAGCCGGATCTCCAGAAGTGGAAGGTGGGCGGGAGCCTGCATTTAACCATTGATGGCAGTCGATAAGCGCAGACCTGTCAGTTAACCGTTTCAATGGTTATTTTATTACATCCCTAATGGAGCCTGGGCATTACTTTGCTTCCAGCACATCGTACACAACTGCAAAGGGAGGGGTGTTACATAAACGGAAAAGGAAGTCGGTGCAAAGCGTCAGCCATAATAAACCAGTGGGTATGGAGGGCTCAGGTTTGGAGGGCAGCTTCAAAATAGTAGAATCCCATCACGACTGCTGTCCCTGAACTGTTCTCGGGGTTGGGAGCATGCAGCCTTTCTGTCTGCGCTGGTTGGTTGATTCATAAATTGAACTCACAACACATTTCTCTCCCCTCCCCCCCATCCTGCTCCTTTATTCCCAGGACTTGAACGAGTAGGGGCCTCGTCTTGTGGAACAGGATGTTCCCCGGAAGAGGGCACCCAAATGGTTTCTTCCATGTAAGTGGCTTCAGTGACCCAGCCGAGAGGCAAGGAGGGAGGAGGATGGCACAACTCGATGCCGGGGGTGGAGCTGGGACCCTCACTGAATCAGCTCTTTGGCCGGAAGACAAAGGGTTAATCGCCGAATGGTTCAGTGAGCTGCAGGCAGGGTGGGGCGAGGGGGAAGTGGTGGGCAAGGACACAACAGCAAAGTCACCAATGCCAAGTGTTTTCTCATCTTTTCAGTCTACTTCCCTCTCTGTCCAAGCGGGAGTCCGAGTGTGTTTGGGGGAGGAAATAGTGGAGTTCCACCCAGTCCCCTCCTATGCTCCCAGAATAGCTGGGTAGTTCCCACCAATACAACCACTAACAAAATGGTTGACCGCATCAAATATTGTAAAACCCACCATTAGGTTCCAGAGTTAACGGCTGACCAAGATGAAGTTGGGGACCGGTCGCATCCCTTTCGGAGCTACACAGTTAGCTCTGTCTCTAGCACAAATCCAGTAACTCCGAGTCTCAGCCAGGCGCTGGGAACAGCTCTGGCCAGCCTATGTCAGAAGCTGAACCTGGTTATGGGGCTTTGTGGCTGACTTGTGCCTTGTGTTTGCTATGATGCTTTGAGGAATGGGGAAAACGTGGGAAAAGGGGTTCCAGTCTCCCCTGTGCTTCGAGAATCCTTTCCCAGGGACAGGTTGAAAACACGCCCATTTAACTGTGCCCCCTGCAACTAAGAGGCAGTGAGGCAAAGGCCGTGTCCCTGTATGCCACGCGCCTCACTGCTCCCTCCTTGTGCCACATGTGTCATCTTTGCAATCCTGTCCCCAGGACTCGCCCTCCACCTTTCCGGCTGATTTTCACCGGGGTGACGAGGGCAGGGGACGGTCCCAGGACCATCAGCAGGCAGCCAGCTGGGATTACCACCCTGGGAGACGTGAGGAGAGATTCAGGGGCAGGTGGCACTCGGTAAGTGGATCGGGGCAGAGGCTCAAGGGATGTGGGGCCCAGGCAAATCGTGGGAGGAGGGTTGCCGTTGAGCTGGGGCAGGGCCAAGGGCCGTGGGTGGTTAGGACGATGTCCTGAGGAGAATTCTTGGGGCAGACATAAGCAATCGCTGCTTGGTTACGGCTTGATTCTCCCCCTGAGAAATATCCACTTCCCTTCCTGCTAATGCTCCCCAGCAGAGCGTCTTAGCTGCGTCTCCTGCCTCTAGCCACCCACTTTCCTTGTGGCTCACGCCCAGAGAGGCCGAGTGCCCTAGCAGGGGCTTATGGCTGGACACCAGGACTGTTATCCTGGCTGTGCCACTGACTTGCTGTGTGACCCTGGGCAAGTCGCGCTACCGCCTCTTGCCTCAGTTTCCCCAGTAGTTAAGGAAAAGCAAACAGAGCTTGTCCACTTACCTGGCAGTTAAGTGCCCCAGATGCATCTCTTCCTGCAGCGGAGGAGTACAAAAGCAGAGAGAATGAGGTAAATGGGGGGCTCCCATTCACCTTCCTTCGTTGCTCGGGAGCAAGGGGGCATTGATTGAAACTGATTGGAGTAGGTCCTTGTATTTCCACAGCACAGAGTTAACCTGGGGCTAAGGGCTCGGTCAGTTTCAAAGGGGCATGGACATTTAGTGCTGTGGAGAATGTGAATAGTTACAGGTGCGTACCACAGGATTAAAAAGGCCACCTAACGACTACGAACCTTCATGCTTCAAGGCACAAGTCAGCCGCTCACAGGGGTCAGGCAGAAAATTCCCCTTTGGGCCCGTTATTCCATAGTGTTCAATGCAGGGGTTCTTGTACCCTCCTCTGAAGCAGCAGGTGCTGGTCACTGATGGAGACAGGATGCTGGAAGATAAGTCGTCCCTCCCGCTCCCCCTGAGTTTGAGCCAGGCTGGGAATCCCAGTGAATGAGGCCTCAAGGCAGGTCGTGCACCCGCATGTCTCACTCAGGACTGGTCTCACCCTGTTATCTTTGCAGCCCTTTTCCCGAGACACCGAACCCTACCCCGCTGACTTCTACGGGGGTGAGGAGGGCAGGTGCTGGGCATCACAGGACCATCCACCGCCCGCTAGGCGGGAGAACCAACCCAGGAGGCACGAGGAAGGCTTCAGGGGTGGGTGGCATTCGGTAAGTGGGGTCTGGGCTGAGCCTCCATGCTCGGGGCACTGTCATGTCTGCGGAGATGGCAAGGGCTGGAAGTGGCAGGCAGAATTCCTGGTTTGTCCGTAAGTGACCAGAGGAATCTCTGCTTGGCTGATGGTGCTGCTCCGTGACCTGCACCCAGGTCTGAGCACTTGGGTGTCCTCCTGGGAGAGATTGAAATGCCACCCAGCTGATTAGCAGAGCGCCCGTAGCACATGTGTCTACTGGTGGTGCACAGCGACACATGCTTTAGTGCACAGCACAAAATTTATTCCACACGCTGGTGCAAAAATTAGAGGGAACATTGCCCTCCCCCTCCCCCCCACTGCAGTTCCTTGGTGCTGCCACTGTGGTCTTGTACAGCTCACACCACATTCTGGTCTGGAGTAGGGGCCTGGGCCTCAGGACCCCTGGGTTCTCTTCCTGATTCTGCCACTGATTCACTCAGTGACCTTTAGCAAGTTGCCACACCTCTGTGCTTAGGTGTCCCCAACTGTGAGAGGGCACTCGCCAAGTGGGAGTGCCCATGGGAGTGCCTTTTGACACCACCCCTGCCCACCTTCCCTTTATTTAACAAGGAGGGACTTCTGAGAGAGGGCCATAACATAATGAATGGGGGAAAGGATAGTTTGGGATTGGGGGCTCACCTGCCTGCTTGGTGCAAGAACAAGGGGAGCCAATGACCTTGGAAGGAAGCTGCAAGCGCCCAAAAGGAAACACTGTTTAGTCCGTGTGTATGTGAACCTATGGAACTCACTGCCACAGGATATCTGGCTGAGGGCAGGAGCTTTGAAGGATTCCCAACAGGAGGAGACATTTATAGGGGCAGTGAGAGCTTCCACAGTTGCAGCCCATAGCATAAAATACCATGTAAAGGCTGCAAACCAACATGCTTCAGGTATGAGACAGCCACTCCCTGACAGGGTCAGGCAGAAAATTCCCTTCGTGGCCAGTTACTCCAGGGATTTCTTGCACCTTCCTCTGAAGCAGCCGGTGCTCATCATTGATGTAGTCAGGCTGCTGGAACAGAGGCCCCCTTCCCAGGTCTGGGCCAGTCTGGCAATCCCTGTGAGCGAGCCCCCGCCCCTGTGACACAAGTCCTCACTCAGGACTGCCCTCATCCCGCGTCTTGCGTCTCTGCAGCCCTTTTCCCGAGACGTAGAACCCTACCCCGCTGACTTTTATGGGGGTGAGGAGGACAGGTGCTGGGCACCCCAGGACCACCAGGAGCCCGCCAGGTGGGAGAACCAAGCCAGGAGGCACAAGGAAGGCGTCAGGCATGGGCGGCACTCGGTAAGTGGGGTCCGGGCTCTTTCTCGGTGCTCGGGGCACCGTTGTGCCCGCATGGACAGCGCTCGCAGTGGAGTTAGGGTCGGGGGAAGAGGACGCTAGTGTCCTCTCTGCCAGGCTGATGGTGCTGGTTACAGTCCTGGAGGGGATCCCGTGTGAATGGAGCCTTCCCAGCTGGACAGACCCGAGGGCGTTCTGACCCCGTCCTGTAAACTCGGGGAGCCAGGCCGTCATCTGCCGCAGAACAGGACGGAATGGGTTTGGAGCTGATTCCTTTGTCACTGGACGCAGTCTCTCACGGGGCCCATTGGTGAAAGACTGTGTCCTGAGCCTGCCACTCTATCCATCTGGCACTCACCTTTGCCCTGCACTGGCCCTGGGGTGTGACCTAGGCACGTCCGTGTCCTGAGACTGGAGCTGACCCCCATCTCCTTCTGCGTGCGTCTTGTCTCCCACTGCTGCTGCTCCGGGGAGGGATGCAAAATCCCGTGTCATGAGTTAACCGGTTAAACATTACATTTCACTGGTTAACTGGTTAAATGGGGGTGGGCAGGGCGGGTTCTGCACAGGCACCAGCTGCTTGTGGCCCCGTGGAGGCTGGAAGCCAGCAGCCCTGCATGGGGGCCCGGTGGGGCTGGGGCACCCTTCGTTCTGAGTCATCAAATTTTGGAAGCGTCACTTCCTGAGGAGAAGGATGGTCTGTGGTATAAAGCAGGAGACTGGGAACCAGGATCTTCTGTTCCAGACCTCGAGTGGGGAGCGTTGCCTAGTGTATAGATCTGGTGACTGGGAGCCAGGATGCCTGGGTTCTGTCCCAGACCTCGAGAGGGGAGCTTTGCCTAGTGCTCAGATCTGGGAACTGAGATGCCTGGGTTCTGTTCCCCGCTCTGGGAGGCAGAGTGAGTGAGTGGATCTCCCCTTGTTCAGCTGCAAAGTACCTGTAAGAGTCACCCCTCACCGCTGTAACATGTCTCCCTTTTCTCAGGCCAGGTCGCCTAACCAGCACTGCCCGGAGTCAGACTCGAGGGAGGAGCGTGGCGGTTCCTGGGACAGGCAGGTGTCGGCTGGGCCGGGCTGATTGCTTGGGGAGCCGAGGCGCTGAAATTCCCAGGCTGGCCCTGCGGGAGGTTCTTTGAGGGGGCTAGACCCAGGCGAGAGCAGGCCAGAGGGCACATCCAGGCACCCGGCTGTGCTGGCGTGACCCCCCTCATTCAAGTGATCCCAGGCTAGCCACTGCTCCCAGTCTCATCCCTGGCTGGTCTGGTCCCACTGCTGCCTCTTCCAGCTGGGAGTGTCTGGGCAGCACCACCCGACGGGGGAGAACCCGCCTGGCGGGAGAACAGGAAGGACATGGGTGGAGTTGCCAGCAGGGATAGATACGCTGGAAAGGAGGAGACGGGAGTGCCAGCCTGGGGAAAGGTAAAAGCAGCCCTGGAGGTTGGGCAGCCAGGCTGGGATGGGGCAGATTCCCACCACTGCCGGGGGGTGGGTACAGGGAGCCGGCAATAGGTACAGGGAGCCAGAATGGGCAGAGACTAGGAGCTGTGCTTTGTCTGACGTTTACGTGTGACCAGCCCTAGAGAAACGACGCCCAAGCCCCCTCTTCCTTCCCTAGGGAGCGAGGGGACTTCCCCAGTAAGTACCGTGGCCACGGCTGCCAGGGCTGGAAGCATCCCCGTGGCCCTTTCCGAGGCGGCTACCGGGGGAAATTCGCGCCTCGCTACCACCACTTCCGGCGCAGCTCCTCCAGAGGTCAGTCCCTTGGCAGCAGGTGGAGGGTACACGCCATACCCAGCATGCCCCAGGACACAGCCCTTGCCTGGCGGTGCCCTATCCCCAGCCAGATTCCTGGGTCTCAGCGGCATCTCTCCCAGGGTGAAGAAGCTGCCAGGTCGGCCTGCCGTGGAGGTCTCTCCAGCTCGGCGAGGGCCCTAGAAAGAGCTGCAGGCAGGGCGCCGTGGGGCACAGCTGGCTGCTGGCATGTGGCTCTGCGAGGAGGAGGAGTCGGGCGGGAGGAGGCCTGAAGCTCATAGGAGAGGCTGGGTGGCCAAGTCTCCCCAGGCTGAGAAGGACCCATTGGATATTTCTGCACCCTGCAGGGGCTGGAGGGCAGAAGGGGTCTCAGTGGTAAACCAGAGCCTCGGGGGGAGGCACGTGGCCCGGCCACCTGGTTCTGTCTGCCTCACGCTGTCCCCCTTGGTCTCGTTGCAGAGAAGTTCAAGTCGTCCAGGTCGTCGGCCTCCCGCTCCCTGGAGAGCCGCTCAGCGGTAAGAGGGGAGGAGCCGGGTTCCAGCCTCTCACACTTCTCTGAGCTCTAGCCGGGCAAGGCGCAGAGAGGCTGGTGGGGCGGAGCTGGTCTTAGAACCAGCCCACTTGTGGTTGGGGGTCCTGTGGACACTGCCTGGCCAGCCCATGGGTAGGAACCAAATGCTCCCCCCCCCACACACACACCCCTGCATGTCAAAGTCAGGGGGGCTGCCTCAGCGTCACCGAGAGGAGAATCTGGCCCTTAGCTGCTGTGGAGTTGGCCGTGGTGGCCATTCCCCAAACCCCGCAAAGCCAGAACCTGGCGAGCCCCAGCCTGGAAAGTTGGACTGACGTTTCCGAGGGCTTAGGCCATCTGGTTCCTTTGACATCGAACAGGGATCGGGCAGGCAACACGCTGAGGCGGCTTTGGGAAATCTCGCCCTCTGTCTTTCAGCCAAGGGCCATCCGTGGGCCAGAGATGGGGAGGAGTTGCCCACAGCCTCACTGGAATCCCAGCCACAGTGAGAGAGGCCGGTAGGCTAGTAGCTGTGAAGAGGAAGACTTGCCTAGTGGTTAGAACATGAGCTAAGACTTGGGAGTAAGGATGTAAAGGGTTAACCAGTTACCTGGTAAGCATTGCCTGACCAGAGTAACCGGTTAACTGGCGCTTGGCCTGGGTGGGGCAGCCCCCACCTTCCTCCCATCCCTGCCCAGAGTGCAGTGTGCTGGGGGGGCTGCTCCAGCCCGGCTGGGCCCACCACCCAGGATGTGGCAGGCTGGTTAACCAGTTAAGCATATAGTTTAACCAGTTAACATTTTAAATGGGATTTTATATCCCTACTTGGGAGAGCTCTGCCACAGAGTCCCTCGGTGACCTCAGGCAAATCACCTAGTCTTCCAGTGATTCAGAGACTAGCCCAGCCTCACAGAAGGGTGACGGGGACGAGCACAGGAAAAGGTTCAAGGGGTTACGGTCCTGTGGTGACGAGGTGGGCACCGAAGGACAAAAGAGAGATTCCAGCTTCTGCTCTTTTTCCTTCCTCCAGCCTAGCAGAAAGAAAAGTGTGTCTTCTAAGACAAAGCCAGCAAAATCAGAAGTGCACAAGAAGCCTGGAAAAGCCAAGAAAGACTCCGCCGCTCCCGTGAAAGACCCCAAACCACCCCAGATCATGGGAGAGAAGCGGCAGGGTTTCCTGGGCAAAGGACGGGTCGCTAGGACGAGGGTGTGTCCCGAGTCCCTCGGGCATGGGGGCTTTGTGGGGCACTTGGGTGCTCCAGGGTACGGGGAGACAGGCGGATAGGATCACGAATGATTGAGCCGGTGAGAAGTTCAGGGCTCCTTGGCCAAGGGAGGGGCACTTCTCCCTTCAGCTGCCAGAGCGCCCTGCTCCAGATGGAGGAGTTCACATCTCCCAGCTGTGGTAGGGAGGGAGGGTGGCTAGAGATGGAGGAGTGGGAAGGGAGGGGATTCCTGTCTCTGGCTGGGCGTCCAGAAGAGAAGAGAGCCATGACTGCAGCCTCCTGTGAGCTTCTCCCCTGGGCGGGAGGCTGCGAGGAGGTGGGTGCTGGTGTTGGTGCAGTTTTTGGTGAATCCTCCTGTCCTGACTCCCAGCGGGGCTGCAGCTCCTGGTGTTTGCAACTCAGGAGAAGTAGGATCCTACCCCAGCCCCCGACTGGGCTGGGGCTGGGGGAGCAGTATGCTTGGGGATAGGTGGGGGAGAGAAGGGGTGGGTGGGTGCTGGCATCTGTGCAGTGGGGAGTGAGTTTTGGGCATCCTCACTCGCTCCCATCTGGACTGCAGCAAGAGTCAGGCGCTCACTGTCTCAGCACAGCAGCCCTAGTTGGGCTACAGACACAGGTCGAGTTTAACAACTGGCCATCTGCCCAGAGATGTTAAGAAGCCTGGGCTAAAATTTAGTGTGTTTGGAGGGAGACAGATCCAGAGCAGAGAAGAGGTTGGAGAGTTTCTACATGAGAAGATCTTAATGCAGGATCTGACTTGGATTGTATGGGTGTTTTCCTGTTGTGAAGCATTTAGGCTGCTTTTGTAGATAAAGATTCAGGCTGCAGATAGGCCTACTCATGACATTTGCGTGATTACATTTCAAACGAAGTCTCAGAGGGGTAGCCATGTGAGTCTACAATATTAAAAACAGCAAGTAGTCCTATGGCACCTCAGAGACTAACACAAATACAGTAATTCCTCATTTAATATTATAGATAAGTTTCTGAAAATGTTCGTGCTAAGCGAAAACGTACTATGCGGGGTCAATTTTCCCATTCAAAATAATGGAAAAGGTGGGAGTTGCATTTCAGGTGGTAGTGCCAAAGTCAATTTTTTGTTGGTGCTGGGTTGTCAACATCAGCATTAGATATCTAGCAACACAAGATAACTAGCAACACAAGTCGCGGCGGTTTGTTAAAACACAAAGATAAACAAGTGAGTAAGTGCAGGAGCACTGTGACCATGTGTATTCGTCCACTCATGCGTATTACCACTATTTTCACCAATTTATACCGCCGGGCGAAGTAGTCCGCCACTTGATTATTTTCGTGTTATTTCGGGGACGGTCGTGTTATTCGAAAAATGTTCCCCAAAAAAATCATGCTATTGCGAAAATGTGTTAAGCGGGCACAGGTTAAATGAGTAATTACTGTATATAGAATCATGAGCTGTTGTGAGTCAAACCCAATTCATCTGATGAAAGCTCATGATTCTGTATATTTCAAACAAAGTTTACACAGGTATTAATGGCTTAAGGTAAAACAGAAAAGGACTCTTTTAATGGGATTTTTGTAGTGTTGTAGATATCTGAAAACTCTGATCTTAATGATTTTTTAAAAAAATAATCCTGTGTTACTAATTAATACATGGTAAATTGTTAAAACTGGAGGAGCTTTACCATGGATCCGGTTTATTTGTTTGGCTTTCAGTTAGAGATGGATTCCAGGCAAAGTTACTTCCATTCAATTTTAGAATTTGTTTGGGGAGGGGTATTGGCATTAAAGTCAGATCTTTGCTATCTTGGTACAGTTCTGGCTCTTATGAGTCAGTGGGCATACTCCGAAGTACCAAGCACTGGGTGTGATGCTAGGTGTTTTGTGGGATGAAGAACTTTATTGCAAGCTCTTTGAAGAATGGATCTGTTTACAAACTCTGAATCCATGTGTTAATGCGCTCTGTGACTTCTGTTCTTTGAGTTGGTAACACACACAACGTGAAAGTTTCAAACCAGGAGAATTGTTATTTGTTTTTACAGGTCTCTGTTTACTTGCACAGCATGGATCCTAAACATTCATTTAAAATATTCATAACCAACCACATGATGTTTTCCCTCCCTTTCTATTTTCAGTGGTTGTGGCTTTATTTGCTGTCTGTGTTGCTTTATTACTTATTTTTACTGTTCTATGGTTGTGCACTATTACTCAAATTAAGGGTTGACATCTCAGAGAAACTGTATAAGCCTGAGTGAATGCCTTTTACTCTCCTTTTCAGTGTCAGTAAATATTGTATTCATATTTGCAAGGAGAGCATGACTATTTCTAGTTGACTTCTAGATTTGTTTAGCATCTTAAAGCTGGGCTGTATGTGGATAATTTTGTGACCTACAAAAGTCTGTAGCATGCTAGTGTTTGGGCAAATGCTTCATTTTTTGAGAGCAGCTTTAGTGGAGATTGTGAAGATTTAATGGTCTATGGGAGTAGGTTGTTAAATTGGGCCTCTGATGCATATTTTTTATGCTTTGATTTAATGGCCAAGCCTTTAATTTATTTATATAACTGTTTTCAGTTTGCTTCGTTTTGGTGTGTTTACCAGCTTGAGATGTTAGGATCATAAAATACATGTAGGAGTATAGCTCCTTGTGAATTATCCCTTGGTTAAATATTTGTTCGTCCTTCATACCTTCGAACTGTTTAAAATAGATATTTATATCTAGGCTCTTTGTTTGTACTTGGTGGTGCACATCCACACATGACCTCCATATTGGTGTTGCCCATGGATGGAAAATGGTAGAGTGAACCCTGCTGGCAGACTCATGCCTAACGTTGTATGCTTATCCATAGAACCAACCCAGCTCTGGGAGCAGCTGTAGCATAGGCAAAGGCAACACAAGTTTGCCTGCTTCCTGTCTTCCTCTGAGGGTCTAACCTCCTTCTCTGATCCCATCTGAAACCTCTGTAGGTCCAGCCCGAAGCTACCCAGAAAGCCACAGACCCTCCCAGCCAGGCCGGCTCTGCCATGGATACTGAACCCCCAGCTTCATCTGAAACCACGGACAATCCTCGTCCAGTGAAGACGGAGGGCACTGAGCTGGTAGGAACCAACCCGGCTCTTCTCACTCTGCTGGAAGCAGATGCGTTGGTGTCCCAGGACACTGCAATAGCCCCTAAAGGCCCTAGACCCTTTGTGCTAGGTGCTGTACGAAGCGGGCTGCCGACAGGAGGCCAAAGGGGACAGCTGCTCTGGGGCCCAGTGATTTAAAAGGGCTTGGGGCTCTGGGCTGTTACTAAGCCGGCAGCAGCGGCCAGAGTCCCTGACTCTTTAAATCACCACCGGAGCCTTATGCAGTGTGATCTGGGCAGCGCTGAGGGCTGGGTAGGGGAGGCTAGCCCTGCCCTTTCCCTCTGAGGCTCCGCCCTTTCCCCGGAATCCTTAGTAATGTCTGTGGCAGTGCAGCAAAGAGGGTGTCAAAGCAGCCAGTGGGAAGGATTCTGGGGAGCATCTTCATCTTTGATCTTCGGACGCTTTGCCCAGACTGACTGTAAAGGAGGCTTGTTATGATGGCAGCGGGCAGCTGTCTGGAGCGGGGCGGAGTTTGGGCTTTGCTGACTCCTCTAGAGTCACAGAGCTCCTTGGTGCGACTCGCTGCCAGCATTCCCAGGGCTGCTGTCCACCTGTCCTGCCCTGGGATAGTCCTCATCTGTCTGAAACCTCTGCAGGTCCAGCTGGGGGCTGCAGATAACCATGGCCAGGCCTGCTGCGCTCTGGGGACTGACTCAGTCCTGACTGGGACCCCGGAGGATCGTCGTCTCCCGGACGAAGACATCAAGCTGGTATGAGCTAGGGGTGTGAGCATGTACTCGTTTACACGATTAACCGATGAGCCTGGGCTGATTGGTTAATCCTAATGGTTACACGCACCCTTCTCCCCCTGCTGCCTCTGTTTCAGAGGCGGACAGGGCAGGGGAGAGGAAGGAGCCGGTGCATGCGGGATGCTCTTCTCCCTCCCCCCCACGCTGCTGCCTCTAAAAGCTGACTCCCCACAAGCACCAGCTCCCACCCCGCCCACCACGTGTAAACGTGTAGCTGCTGTAAATGTCAGCAGTTACACGCTTACAGAAATCATCGCTTTTTAAAATCCCTAGTATGAGCTACTTCATGGGCGGGAAAAATATGGCCTGCGGGCCCCCACGATACTCTGGGCCACCAATGTCCTGCAGCCCAGCAGGACCCTCGGGCAGGCTCCCTGCCTGCTGTGTCGCTCCCTCCCTGCTCAAAGCAGCCGGCTGCGAGGACCGGCCTGTGTGTGTCTGAGTGGCTTGTGCCATTTGGAGGCAGGGGATCTCGTCACGCTGCCCCTCACCCCAGCACAATTCTCACAACTCCCATTGGCTGGAAACCGGCCAATAGGAGCTGCTTGGGCTGTGTTTGTGGGCGCAGGCAGCTCGCAGAGCACAACTCTGCGCATGGCCCCAGTAGCCGCTTTGAGTGGCATGTAGGTGCACGGCAGGAGCTGGTAGGGGAAGCGCCTCTTGGCCAAAGCCTGCATATGGCTCCCTGCCCCCTCCTGTGTCCCAATTCCCTGCCCTCTGCTCCAGCACCAGGAAGGCAGGATAAGGGACGTCCCAAGGGTAAGGCAGTAGGGTGGGTTCTGGAGTGGCCTAATGGATAGGGCAGCCACATGGGAGGCACAGTGTGGTGGGTTCTACTCCTTTGCCAACCGTCTCCCCACCAGCACCAGTCACCTCCAGGATGGAATTGAATCAGGCAGCAGGATAAGGGGCATCCTCAAGGTAGGGAGGTGGGGTGGATTCTGGAGTGGGTGTTCCCCCTCCTGCCCTAGGTCATAATCCTCTACTGCACTCAGACTGCCTCCCACACCCCCTCCATCAATATAATAGAAAAGTGTGGCCCATCACCATTTACCAAATTCTTGTAGCGGGCCCACCCCGAGCTAATCCATCCCCCCTTTCAGCTCCTTGCTTATGCCAGCCATGTTGGTGCACTGGAGGGCGATGGGATTTGAACTCTCCTCTACCCATCTTTTCCTGCCACATGCCCTTGATAGACCGTGCATTGCCATTAAGTCCCAACCCTTCCCCCTGGGCAATGGCAGGTCAAAGGCGTTTCCAAGGCAACTGGTGCAGAAAGTTGTGGGAAGCATCCGCATGGTCCATTCAGTCCTTTGGACTCTGCTAAGAAGCCAGCTAAGAAGGGTGATGGGAGTGTGATGTGGGCATTTGTCCAGCAGCACCAGCACTGATATATCACTAGTGCAAGGTGGCTGAGATAAGCATCTGGCCCTTCCCCTAATGCAGCGAATGGATGCAAGGGCACTTGGGTCACTAGCGTGTCTCGTGTTCTGCGGTGTGAAACAAGAGCCAGTGTTGTCCAATACACTGGTCTGGGACTCAAGGCACCTGGGAGCTGTTCCTAGCTCTGCCGCTGGCTGAGTGACCATGGGCAAGTCACTTCTCCTGCCCCATGACTCGGTTTCCCCATCTGTCAAATGTGACTCATGACCCAGACCTCTTTCATCAAGCGCTGTGAGCAGTAGGGATGAAAACCGCCAGCTATGTGCCAGGGATTATTATTACAGAGGTCTCTGGCAGGCTCCCAGATGTGGAAGACAACAGAGATTTTTATCCTTGCAGCATCTCCTTTGCTTGCAGCGTTGGTGTTTCCGGTCCTCCTGCTTCACTTTTCCTCCCAATCTAACTGTTCCTCAATCCCTCAGGTCCGGCTGGAAGCTAGCCAGGAAACCACAGACCATCCCAGCCAAGGTGGTTCTGATCTGACCACTGAGCCACCAGCCCCACCTGGAACTACCATCAGGACAGAAGAAACCGAGCTGGTAGGAACTAACCCCTCCCTTCTCCTTGGATCAGATGCACTGAGGCCTGAGGAGAAGGTTGGGTTTGATGCCCTCTTCCCACACACTCACCCTTTCATTTGCCTGCCCCACTGTGTGGGACTGATGCTTGTCATTCCCGCCGCGCTGTCACAGCCGTACTTCACATTCAACAGCTATGGAGAGGGCTTTGGCTTTGACTTGCCAGTGTCTTCGCTGCTGCTGTTTCGCTCTGTGCACTGCCAACCCCCCAGCTCCCATCCTCTGGAATGGTGTAACCTCTCTTGTCAACATGAGAACGGCCATACTGGGTCAGACCAAAGGTCCATCTAGCCCAGTGTCCTGTTTTCCAATAGTAGCCAATGCCAGATGCCCCAGAGGGAGGGAACAGAACAGGGAATCATCAAGTGAACCCTCTCTTGTCACCCATTCCCAGCCTCTGACAAACAGAGGCTAGGGACACCATTGCTACCCATCCTGGCTAAGAGCCATTGGTGGACCTAACCTCTTTTTAGAACCCTGTTAAAAGTCCTGGTCTTCACAACATCTTCTGGCGAGGAGTTCCACAGGTTGACGGTGTGCTGTGTGAAGAAAAACTTCCTTCTGTTTGTTTTGTTTGTCCCCTCAGAAATCTCCACAGCTCCAGCCGGAAGACGACCTGAAGGCCCCGGATCTGCTCAGCCAGGCTGTCTCTGCTTTAGAGATTTCACCACCTGTGTGGCCAGAGGTCACTGGGGAGCTGCTTCCCGTAGGAAAGGAAGAAATGGAGCTGGTATGAACTAACTTGTTGGCCCCCATTCCCGCAGGTTAGCACCCTAGGTGGGGGAGGAACTTAGTCCTTGCCCATCCCCCGGTTGCTTCCCAAAACATCCTCGGAATCCTTTGTACAGGCTTTTGGAGCGTGCTAAGGCAGGCACGGGAGCTGTTAATTTCTTGGCGGCTGAGCTAGGGTTACCGGTGGTGGTCGTTGTTTTTGTGCTGGGGTGCCCACCCACTGTGAACTAGGCTGAGAGCCGTCAGACTCCCTCAGGCAAGGGATACAAATGGCTGTCCGACTGCCGCGATCTTTCAGCGCTGCCGACCTGGGCCAGGCTTGCATTGGTATCCATCTCTCTCAGCCACGCTGGGCTGCCCTTTGGCATACGCAGCTGTGCTGGGCACCACTCCATGTGGGGCATCAGTGGCGCTCCAAATGTAGTAGTGCCTTATGCTGCAATGCCTAGAGCCACGACCGGCTGCACGCTGCACTGGCTCTGGTGGCCCCAATCCCCCCGCTCTGCCTCCTGGCCCCATCAGACCCAATCCCCCTGCTGCCGTCTCCCCACTCCAGTCCCTGCTCCGCTCAGCTCCACCTGCCAGTCCTCAGTTCCAGCAGGCTGCACCACTCCTCCTTCCTTCTCCCGGTCCGCAGCTCCCGCTGGCTATGCCATTCACTCGGCCTGCTCCCCCACCAGCCTTCCTGCCCCACCCACAGCTCCTGCCCTACAGCCCTGCCCTATGGAGTGGCTGCCATCCCCTTTCCCCCCTGGAAGATGGCAGGTGCAAGTGCACAGGCTGCATAAGGCACCAGAAATCATAAGGACAGCCCTTCATTCCCTCTTTTTTACTCAGGCAGGAAGCAGGTGGCATAAAGCTCAGAAAAATGCTTTACAATATTCTGCAGCCATCGCTCTAACGCCCCCACCTTCTGCAAGCGATGCAGGGCCGGGGTTAGGGGGCCTGGCTTCTCCACTCATAGAAACTTCCCCTCTGGCTGTTGGGTTGGACTTGGGGGTGATTTCATTTGTCAGTAGCTCTGGTTCACTCGTGGACCTGCACACACCCCAGCCCCGTCCTGCCCTAGAGCAGGTTAACCTCCTTCCCTCACTCTGTCTGAAACCAACGCAGGAGCAGTTGGATGCTTATCAGGAGGCCCCAGGCTGTCCCCAAGCCTGTGCTGCTCTGTCTACCCCATTGGAGACCATGGAGGACCTGCGTTCCGCTGCCATACTGGCCCGAAAAGAAGAAATTGAGCTGGTAAGTTCTAATGGTCCCTTTTGCTCACCCAGGAGCAGGGTTGGACCTAGAAGCCTGGAGGCTCTAGGTGTGTCCAGGATCTGGGTTTCCCTTCCCCTCCCCAACCATCTCCATCGTCTGCCTTGCTTTAAGTCCCCAAATCCCTGGCAACAGCTGCGCGAGTGCTTCCAAGGAGGCACAATGGATTGCCAGACCTGTGTGTGTCTGCTAAACGTGATCCTGGGTGGGGAAGAATGAGGTTGGAGGTGAAACCCCAGAGCCAGCCATGAGGAGTTCAGGACTTGTGAGATGTGCCCAGAAACCAAAGCAGCCTCGCTCCTAGCCCCCTCCTCCTCAATTGGCTGTTTTTAGCCTATGCCCGTGGCCCTACCGACATGTGAAAAATATTCTTCCTCCGGGGGTTTTGCTGTGCTGGGGGTGGATTGAACTGGAAGCAGTCTGAGGACTGGCCAAGCTGTCTCAACACCTCCTGTTGGCTGGCTGGCCCATTTGCCCTCTCCTGTGGCTGAGGGTTGGGAGTCTGACCGCTTTCGCCCCCAGGAGCGCAGAGAGATCCTTAGGCCGCCCGCAAAAATGCATCATGACGGCAGCAGGGATCATCGGAAGCAAATTATTGCCCCAGCCCTAGGGGGCGCCGCTGGCTTGAATCGTGCAGTAACTCGGACCCTTTTCCCGGGGCTAGGTTGAGGTTAGGGACTTGCCCGCCCGCTGCCTCGTCTGACGCGCTCCCCTTCTCCCCTCCCCGCAGTCCTACCAGCAGTACAGTCTGGCCTTTGCGGTGGTCGCCACCATGCTGCTGCAGAAGGAGCCGTCCATGGAGGCAGCGCTGGGGGCGGCGCGGCGGGCCAACCTGCGGCAGGGCGGGGGCCCCTGCCTGCAGGAGCTGGAGCGCTTCATTCACAGCTATGACGCGGGCGCCGCCCACTCGTGAGAGGCGGGCCCCATGGGAGACGGCTGCCGTGGCTCTGAGCCTGGTGGGGGCGGGGACCACCGCGGGGACTCCCCATCTGCCAGCAGCAGATGAAAAACCAGCTGGTGTGGATCTGTGCCGCTGACGCTGGGCATGATGGGCTGAGAGCAGAGCCCCAGCACGGAGAGCTGCAGTCGGGGTGCTGACGCTGGGCAGTGGCACGGAATGGGAGAGAGGCTGGTGGCTTGGAAGCGGGGGGGGGAGACTGGGGGCAGGGGGAGGGATGCTAGGGCTGAAGGGGTCAGTAACCGTGGCGATGGCTAAGTGATGTCCGAGGAGTGGGGGGGTGGCTGGAGCCTTGTCAGGCGGGGCCGACTGAAGCGGACACAGAGTTGAGCAGCGCCTGTCTGGGGCCAACACCCACAGCAGTTTTATTTGGGGCTGCAGAGCACTGTGGTTTTATGGAGGGAGGAGGGGGTCTGTGCCAGGAGCTCCCTGAACTTTTATACAGTGTGTGTGTGTGTGTGTGTTTATTTCTGGAGCAACCTGTTTTCGTGCTGAAGAATAAAATGGCAGGCGGAAGAGCAGAGCGCCCCCCGCTGCTGCTGTGCCACTACTCCTGGGTCAGTCCGCTTGAGCGTGAAGACAGCTGGAGGGAGGTCCCTGGGGAAAGTGGGAAACACGGCAGCAGCTGTTCGAGGAGGCCATTATAGGCTTGTTCCGAAACATTGCATTTGGGGTGTTTCTCCTGTTGGAGGAAGGGGCGGTGCCGGAGATGGGTGTTTTAAAAGAGCCAGGGGGCTGGATTATTTTCAAGCTCTTGGCAGCCACAGTGCTGGGCTCTTTCGGAAATGTGTCCAGTTAATTTTCCACCTACATGGGAGCTAGACTCTTTTAAAAACGTGGCCCGAGGCCAGCTTAATTCTCAGTCCTATGGAAGCCTGGCAGCCCTGCTTCTCTACGCCCCTCCCCACCCTCTGCTCCTGACCTGCACTTCCCCTGTTCTTCCGTCCCTGGGCCCCTTCCGTCAGCCCTTTGGAGCCCCCGCCCCTCCTGTTTAAAAGCTCTGTTCCGCCAGCATATTCCATGCCAGTGGCTTAGATCTGGCCCACACCTAAATCCAAGGCTGGCCTAACCCGCTGCGTAGACACAATGGAAGGATTCTCCCATTGACGTAGCTGGTGCCTCGTGGGGAAGTGCATTAACTACTGACAGGAAAATTCCCTTCCGGTGACGTGGGAAGCGTCTACACTTCATTGCTACACCTCCAAGGCCCTAGCGGTGCCACCACCGCGGGTGTCGTGTGGACATACCCTGAGGGGAAGGACTTCACCCAGCCTCAGCCGCTTGCTTTCCTTTGGGCAGCAACTGGCTGCCCTGTAATGCACGGAGGCCCTTTCCTTCTTCCTCCTGCAGGATGCAGTCAGGCCCGTCGGTCCCCACCGCGACTTGCTTTGCTTAGCCACACCCCACTTCCTTTCAGGTCCACGTCGCGCTTTATTGGTGAAGCTTAGGAACTGATTTCTGCAATACACCGGCACATTCATGCTCTGCCCCTCCCTGTGGGGCTGAGGGAGTTTGGTTCTGGGATTTCCAAACCCTCCTCTCTCCAGAGCCCAGTCGCCCGCATTCAGAGTGTGGGTCAAAAAGCTGCATCCGCTTTTGAGTGGAAGGATCTTGTGTCCATCTTGGCTCAGTCCCCATGGGGGCGCACACCGGGTTCTCAGCCAGGAGATTAAGGGCAAAGGTCCTCCTAGGACACCTAAGGCAGAGCAGCCAGACTCTGCCTCCTGCCCCTCGGAGCTTGGGAGAACCTACTGTGGGGCAGCGGAGAGATTTGTGCATGTGTCCTTGCTAGCCGCCCTGAACCCCCTGCGATAACCTTTTACAGTAAAATGGCCTCTGCAGAGCAACTAGGGTGGGCTGGTTTGTCTTTTCCCAGGTCTGGGTGTGAGGTAAGAGGCGTATGGCCCTGAGGGCTGTCTGCCTTCCGCTCCTCCGCTTGCTGTACCTGTTCTTAGTCAGAGGGCTGGCCCGCCTGGCCTGCAGCATTGCTTACCCCTCCAGCTGCTAATGCAAGGACCCAAAGGCTCCTCTCTGCCAGTGCAGGGGCTGGTTCCCGCCACCTTCGTAAACGCGGCCACAGCTTTGCAGGGACTGACCCATCCAGACTAGCACCTCTGAACACCCCACCGCCTGGGGTTGGGTGTAAACTCCTGCATGCTGGGCTGTGCTCTCTCTAGGGTTAACTGGCTGGCCCAGGACAATCCGTCCCTTCCCCTGGCTTGGCTGCTGGGGGGACCCTCTCGTTTTCTTTCTTCCCTCCGGTTAAATACACTTGGCTAAGTAATTCTCCTTCCCGCTGTCCACCCCCTTTCTGGCCCTCCCATGCTGCGTGGGAGCCCTCGCTCCTGGCCCAGCCTCCCCCTGGCTAGGAAATGCTGCAGTGCTTACTGCGTCCCCGCAGCTTGGCTCTCCTTCCCGCAGCCCTGCCAAAGCTGCTCCGTTCCCTGCCAGGGAGGGCCGGGTAGCCTGCCCCCACCTGCGGGATTGGTTTCCCAAAGAAGAAGCCCTCCTGCTCCGAGTCGGAGTCCGAAGAGGAAGAGCAGGTCGGGCACCAGGAATCTTCTTCCTCCGGGACATCCTGGGGGCAGGTGTCCTCGAGCTGTGGGACCGGACTCCGTTGTGCGGCCGTCCTGGGGCCAGGGGATGAACTGATCCTAAAGTGCTGGGCTCTGCTGCCTTCCTCGGGCCTTGTGAGCTGGTCGCCCAAAGCCGTGGGTCCATCCAGGCCCAGTTCACTGGGTGGGGTGGAAGAGGATTGTTCCTGGCCTGCGGGAGCAGCAGCTGCTTGTGCCAGTGCACTGGGGTAGGCAGTTCCCTTACTCCCCTCCTTGAACGCTGGTCCGTGGCCATCCCGGTGTCTGAAGGTGGCGCGCATGGAGGTGTTATCTGGGGAGTCGTCCATCTCTGAAAGGGGAGAGTGAGAAGGAAAAGAATCTGAACATCCCCCCGTTATACAGTGATGGAGCCCAAGCCGAGTTCAGTTAGCCAATGGGGCTACATAAATCAGGGCAGAATTTCCCCCACCCCACGGCTTATCCCATCACACCAGCTGGGCGGACACTGCTGGAGATGCACATGAGGCCTAATCAGCTGGTCTGTCACAGTAAAGCTTATAGGCCTGATTCGACTACTCCTGACTCTATGCAGCCTCCCAGTGACTTGATGGATGTGAGCAAAAGGAGAGTGGTCCTCTGCTCTAGCCAGCCCTGGCATTACGTGCTGGCTGGAGGACATTCCCTGGCCTCCAATGTTCCCTCTATTCTTTACCAGCCATGTGCAGATTTTTTTCCAGCCATGTGTGGAATAAATCTGTGTGTGCACCAAGCATGTGTGAATGTGCACCACCAGTAGAAACAAACCTAGCTGGGAGCACTCTGCTAATCAGCAGGGGAGCATTGGAATCTCTCCTGGGCGGCTGCACAAACACCCAGCTCCCGGGGAATGCTGCTGGCCGCTGGCTGTTAGGGGAGGATTCTGTGAATTCCCTGTCCTGATAGGGCTGGATCAGAGTTCTTGCCCCAGATTTCTCCCCTCCCCAGTTTTCAAAGCGGATTGCGCGTGACCATACCATCCATCTCTGTCGTTTGTTGGCTGGAATCACCACCCACTGCCAGAGCCAGAGGGGGGATCCCTGGTCCAGGGGGGTTCCTGCTGCCCTTGCTGCTAGCCCTGGAGACGGGTGTGGAGTCGGGCGACGGAGCAGACACAAAGGCGGAGTCGGAGGAGTCGGAGGCTGTGGAGGCCGCTGCCGCTTTCTCCAAACGGCAGGCCTCGGAGCAGTAGAGGAGGCTGTGGTAGGACATGACCTGCTGTCCTAGCAGCGGCATCCGGCAGAGGCTGCAGCAGA